GGCCCCATATCCTCTGGAAAGAGGTGGTCCTTGCACTGCCGTCCCTCGTGGGCCCTTGGACACAGGAAGGATGGAAGAGGAGAGTGCACATGAGTGGGTGCAGCCGGGGTTCCCTTGGAAGCACAGCTGACATCTCTCCCAGAAGCTGGAGTAACGAGACCTTCCCACTGGGGTATACACTGCCCACCCCCAGTGTTAGCTATTTGCTGAGAGGCCAGTCTCAGAGCACGTGGCAAGACAGTGGTCACCTTGAGTAGGGCCTTGACCATGGACCTCTCACTCAGACAGTGGGCAGAGTGTCAGAAGCTCGCCTGCATCAGGAGCTCCTCTTCCCCTCCCAGTGGGGGGCCTAGGGACAATGAGTGGAGATGGGGTGGAGGGAGAGTCAGGCAGTGTTACTCCAGTCAAGCTCCCTCCTGGGAAGGGATGGAAGTCCCATTCTTCCTCCTCACCTTGGAAACCCAAGCACAGAGAAGTAGGGCCCCCACCTACCATCATGACCCTTCAGGACAACCCAGGCTGGCTGAATGCATGTAAACCTCTAATCTTGGGGGCTGAGAGGTGTCCCCATCTTAAGCAGCTGTCAGGGGTAAAGACTTTCAGTTCCCTCTGAGCTGATACTTAGGAAGAACCAACACTTTGGGTGTGAAAGGCTGCTTGGTCTTGTTCTTCTTTCCAGTTGTTTGCGAGTCCATCTGGACCACAAGGTGAGGCCAACACAGTTGAAAGTGATATGTTTATTGAATCTTGTTTAAAAGGCCGCAGCCTTCTGAGGGCTAAACCCATTGGAAACCATTACAAATGCTCCTCCATCAAGAGATTTGCATTTTATTTCGGAAAGTCTTCACCAAAATTAGGAATCTGTAGTTAGAAAATTTGCCACTCTTTCCTTGCTCAAACAAAATGTTTCTTTGAGGCGTTTCATTCTCTTCCATCCATCCTGTCTACCCCGCAGTGGCCTCTTCATCTCCAGTTGACCATGATTCATCTCCAACTCAGCATCTCCAGGTTGACCAGGGTAAATTTATATCTGCTGTGTGCTGCTGTGCTGTGAGGAGTGAGGTGTGCTGATAAAGTCGAGAGGGCCACTGCTTGTCACTACAAAGCCCTGCCTCCCTGGTCGCATATCACCGCTGTGTTTCCTTATGATCTGCACAAGATGCATGCTTTGATGGTGTATCAAATTCTCTTTGAGACAGCATGGAATTAGCAGATGAAACAAGAGAGTTATGGTGCACCCTTGGGGAAACTTCTGAAGCTCTGGCCGAGTCCATATAAAGGTTTTCCTTTTTTATAGGAACAAAGAAGATTATGACCAGTATTGCTCATCATCATATGCCTAACAAAGTTGTTGAGCTTTCCCATAAAATACTGCCCTAGGGAGAAATGAGGAATATCCATTAATTCCTTGCTTAGAGCCTTGTTAGCTTAAAATCTGTTTGTTGCTTCTTTCAACACCCATCTCCGTAAGCCGATTAAGGAGACCTTGTTATCTTGTATCCCAAATAAGCCAAAGGGAATTGTAATTGGATTAAATCAAGGACCTGTAATTTCTGAAAAGAAAAAGTAAAAGATGAATAAAAAGCGACCCGTAGGCACATGTCTTTGCTAGCGGTAGCAGCCCATGTAAGCTGCAGCCATTAGCCACCAGGACAGGCGACCTTTCTTGTGGACCATTGGAATGATTACAAATTTATACTCTGAGGCAAAGGGCTGACAGCAAAGGACCATGCTGGAATTAGACATGGGAATTAGACCCCTGAGTGAAATAGGCAAAGATCCCTGCTCTTAGGGAGCTAACATCCTTGTGGATAAAAATGACTCACTAGATCTCAGGCGCTGTTCTGAGCATCTCCCATGTATGCATCCATTTGACCCTCACTCTTATCCTGAGAGTGGGCATTTATTATCATCCCCATTTTGCAAATGGGGAAACTAAGGCACTGGGAAGTTGGGTGACTTGCCCAAGGTCACACAACTAAAGGGGCAACTTAGTATTTCAACCTGGTGTACATCAGCGTGTACCGTTCATCCAGGGAATCTTGGTTTAAAAGGAGATTCTGATCCAGTAGATCCAGGTTGGGGCCCCTGTGATTCTGTACTTCTGACAAGTCCCCACGTGACACTGATGCTGCTGGTCCGTGGACCACTCTTGGAGTGGGAATGATCTGGGCCGTGATGGGCATCCCTGATGTCCTGAAAACGGAGCTCCTTAGAGATACAGTTACTTCTCATTTTGGTATCATCTTCATCGGGACTCTCTGTGGTTATCCTAGCCTGGGCTCAATTGGTTGAAGCTATGAAAACCCATCAAGCTAATTCAGAAGGGGGACGGGGATAGTTTAAGAATACAGAGCTCACAGAACGCAAGGACCGGGAAAATGCAATACATTAGCCCTCTTGGGATCCAGAACGCCATCAAGATAAAGTTTCTCAGCCCCACAGGTCCTCTCACCTCTGCCTTCCTCTTGCAGGTTCTGCCCTCGGCTCCATTCTGCTTGCTTGTTTTCCAAACATGGCTGCCTGCCCGGAAGTCCACAGGGTCTTTCAGCCCAGGGCCCACAACAACCATATGTACTCTGATCCTTAGTTTAAATTTCTAAAGGGGGGATCTGATTGGTTGCTTTGGCAGTATGCAGATTACAGGGGCTGTGGGTGGGGCAAACTAAGCAGGAAAGATGGTGGGTAAATGGTGTGACACGTCTAATATCACCTGCAAGACCAAATTTCCACTGAGGTCATTCCTGCACGTCCTGATTGCTCACTCTGTGGGGCTGTCAGAAAGAAAGAGATCATTCATTTATTTACCAAGCACCTACCAGCTGCCAGGCAGTGTGCCAAATGCTGGGGATACAGAGGTAGAAGCTACAGCTTCTGGTTTTCAGGAATTTAAGTTCTAATGGGAGAGGAGTTCTTCTCCAGTAATGGCAGACTAGCTTATAGCAGACCAAAGCCCGCCTTCTGAGAACAATTAGAAAAGCTGAAAAAAAATCTGCATTTCAGCTTTTCTAATTGCATATTTATATCCCGTAAATACATTTGTATTACATAATTGCATAATTATATATGTGCATATATATTTCCACTATCCTAATTGTTCTCTGAAGGGCTACATAGATAGATAGATAGAGTGCAGAGAAGAGCAATGAGCAAGCCCAACTGTCAGCGACATTTAACTCTGTAAGAAATTCAACCATACTTAAGCAGCACTGGTTGAGAGAAGCCATGCAGAAAGTGGCACTCAGGATGTTTAGGAGGCAGGCAGAGCTTTTGGCAATTCTAACAGTGAGATGAAAATTAGAAGGGCTGTGGTAAATACCCCAGGCTTTCCATGGGAGATCCTTAAAGGACTACTGTACCCTAAGAGTAAGGGCAAACCAGAAATAGACTAGACCATATAAAAACTGAAAGCCAGCCTCAAACAGTTCAAACCCCGGTGGGATTCCGTGATCATCCTCTTACCCTACCTCTTACCTACCAGGAAGCTACAATTTCGTCTAAAGCTCCCTTGATTTTCCATATACAATGTGTGGCATTCAATTAAAAAAAAATATCAGGTTTATCAAGGGATAGGATCAAAAGCAAAAACAGATAACAGAGACAAGCCTGTGGGTGATGCTGATATGAAAGTTATCCAGCATGTACATTAAAATAATATGAATGATATGGTTGAGAAATTAGATGACAAGCTGGAGAAATTCATTAGAGAGCTGGGATGTATAAAAAAGAATTCAATGGGTAATCTAGAACTGAAAAATACCGTGAATGCCATTAAAACTTAACAGATGGGTTTAACAGCAGTTTAGACACAGATGAAGAGAAGATTAGGGGTCTGTGAGATAGGCCAACAGGAAATATCCAGTGCAAGGCCCAGAGAAATGGAAAGATGGAAAATTCAGAATTGAAATCCATCGCAGTATTAATACAGAAGTTTGTGGGAAGGGCAGTAAATGGAATTGAAGTTCCAGACCATCTTTGCTGTAGTCCTTGCCTCTCACATTGATTCGGTCTCCATTCCAACTACCTTTGTCTTTTTGTTGAGGTCCTAGATTCCCTTCTCTAGAGGTCAGTATGTAGCCACTGACCACTTGTGGCTGTTTAAATTTAAACTGATTAAAATGAAATAAACTACAAATTGAGTTCTTTAGTCCCATGTAGACTAGCCACATTCCACATGCTCAGTATCCACGTGTGGCTGTGGCTGCTGTGTGTACAGTGCAAACAGAATGTTCCCATCATCTCAGAGGGTTCTCTTATGCAATAACCTCATTCCTTGACATTTTGCATTTTCTGTCAGGTTAACTTTTAGATTTTTGCCTGTGAATATGATGCCCCTATGTATGGAACCTCTCCATGCTTCTAGACTCCTTAGTGTGATATTCGAGCTTTTATACAGTGTAGTTCAATTCTATTTCCCTGACTGTCGAGAGCAGGCACAGTAAATTCAGTGATCAATCACTGACTGAAAGAAGATGAAATAGTTCAGAATCAGATGCCTGCTGCTCTGTGTGACTGTCTTGCATGGAGAATGGTGCTCAGAGCACTTAGCCTGAGTCATCAGATGACCTCAGGCTCCCCTAGGGACATCTAGGCAAGGACACTACATCTTAGAAAGATGTCCACTATGAGGGTAAAACAAATAACATTTTGGTTCTTGAAATTCCCATGGGAGAACTCTTTATTTTGCAAATATATGGGGCAAGAGGGACTTCTCCTGAACTGAGTCCCAGCTTTGCCATCTATTGGCTTTTAACCATAGACAACGTAACTGCCCTCTCTGGTGTCTCAGGTCTCCCAGTTGTTGTGTGTAAGTCATTGCACCTCTTCCTGACATGTGAGTTGTGATAATTAAATGTGGTTTTGCACATGTGAAAATAACTTTATAAATGTAAGTGATGTATGTATCATATGGCATTACTTTGTATTACAGTGTGGGCATGGTCACTCGACTTCATAAGCCCCTTGACTTCGTGCTAAGCTGTTTCTTTTTTGTCTTCCAGTGATTTCCCTCAAAGCTTCTGAAGATTCATCCTTTGAGAAAAAGAAAAAGACCTGGGCAGTTTTTGAAGGTAAAGCTGGCGTATTTCTTTATTACAAGATGCTGCCTCACTTTTCGATAATAGGAAAGGGATAGAGTAGGAAGAAAGGACCCTAGATGCTTAGTGTTACCATAACATCAAGTTGTTTCCTTGCCTTAAACTTACTCAAGAGCAGGATGGAATCCCTGGCTGATGGAGTCAGCCCACAAGGTTTGAAAGACTAAAGATAAAATTTCCAGTCTGCGTTGTTTGGGGTTGTTTTGTTTTGCTCCAGAATTCCTACTCCTAGGTGATATTAGGGAGGGATCTTCAAGAGATACAAAAATGAAAAGTACTTCTACTGTGACTAATTTTATCTCAGTTTTCTTAAGGAGTTTGGGGTTCTGGAAACAGTTTGAAAACCTTAAGCAAGTGATTTTCAATCCGTGTTAGAATCAGCTGGGGAGCTTTGAAAACACCGATGCCTGGACCACATCTCTAGAGATGCTGATGGAGTTGGAACTTGTTAAATCTTTCCAGATGATTCCAGCATACAGCCATGCCTCGAGTGGTCATTCCCAAAGCTGGTCCTAGACCAGCGGCATCAGCATCAATGTCGCTGGGAGCCTGTTACAAATGCAATTTGTTGGGTGCTGCCCTTGCTTATGGGATCAGAAACTCTCGCGTTGGTGCCCAATAATCTGGGTTTTAATAAGACCTTCGGGTAATTCTGATGCACACTCAGACTTGAGCCTTAGAGCAGTGATTTTCAACAGGAGATGATTTTGCCCCTCTGGGAACATTTGCCAACGTCTGGTACATTTTTGGTTGGCGCAGTTAGCATTTTGGTGCTACTGGCATCTATTGGGTAGAGGCCAAGGATGCTGCTGAACATTCTACAATGCACAGGTCAGCCCCCCACAACAAAGGATGATCCGGCCCCCAACGTCAAGAGTGCTGAGGGTGAGAAACCTTGCCTTGAAGTAAGGAAAGTCCACAGAAATTATTCTCACAAAGTGGTTGAGGATTGTGACCATAAGCAATGAAAGAATGTACTTTGTGGGTTCTCAGGCAGAGCCTGTGGTCAGTGAAAAACTGATGAACGTTAAGAGGTGATGGGGAAATTGTGAAAGATGACATCTTGGGAAGGCACGGCATTTACTGATGATGAATGACCTTGCCAAAAGGACCTAAGGAGGTGGGTGTGCCTTGGGGCTTCACTGTCACCTTTTGTTAATTCACAAGGTATAATGGTTGGAGAGCGTGCCCTAGGGTGAGCGCGCCTGGAATCAGACCCACCTTTTCCAATAGTGAATTGAAAGCAGTGGACTGAGGGACTTTCTGTCTTAGAAAAATGTCACTATAATTGTGAACATGGTCTGCAAACTATAAGGTGTCATTCATGTAGGCTGTTAGGATTTATTGTTTTGTTTTGAAGTCATAAAGCAACAACATGGATGGACCTTGAGGTATTATGCTAAGTGAAATAAGTCAGATGGAGAAAGACAATTACCATATGACATCACTCATGTGGAAGATAAACAAACAAACGCACACAGAGATAGGGAGCACAGATTGGTGGTTACCAGAGGGGAAGGAGGTGGGGGGGGGGATGAAGGGGTAAAGGGGCACATGTGTGCCATGATAGATAGAAACTAGACTTTTGGTGGTGAGCACCATGCAGTTTATACAGAAAGTGAAATATAACAATGTAAACCTGAAATTTACACGTTATAAACCAGTGTGACCTCAATAAAAAAAAAAAAATTCTTTCCCAGATTGCATTTGACTCCAAGAATAATTCTTTGTATTCCCTGCCTTTTCTTCTGCACATTTTGTAGCTGCCTTTTTCTTTATTTGATGGCTCTCTCCTACCAAAATAATCCCCAGTTCCCTCCCTCAGCCTTTCATTCAGGGAATGCCTATTCATTAGCAAAAACATGAAAGTGACTTTACTCCTCATGTGGTGAAGCAGTAGAAAAAGCAACTGATTTATCCCCTGTTTCTGGGGCTGCCCAATGACCAAGGCCCCATGATGGGTGGGATGGAGACATCTGGGGCATCCCTAAGGTAGGTGGCTGGCAACTGTGACAGCAGGAGCCCTGTTTACCGTCAGATGCATAAGGATCTCCTAGGAGGTGTGTTAGTAATCCAGACTTTGGGCTCCCCTCCAACCCTGAGAATCTGATTATTGCATTTAGGAAGGGATCAAAGAATTTGCACTTCATCGGGCTGTGGTGTTTCTGATGCAAGTGGTCTGAGAACCATATTTTGAAAATACCGCAATCCAAAAAAGCAAGACTTGATATGTTTGGAAGAACTGTAGCATTTAGTCCTGACATGCTTTCCAGCATAATCAGCGTCTCTAAAACACTTTGTATAATTAATAATGTTTTATAATTCACGTGTAGCTGCAGAATGTCAGAGTTACTCTCCACCTAACTCTCTACACAAAATCCTTAGCCCAACGTGGGCTCTCTTCTCAGCACGGAGAATTAGGTCCCTTCAGAAAAGCAGAATTGGAATTCTCACTATGTGTAAGGCCACAGAGCAGCTGTTTCAACCCAGGATGCTTTCCCTCTGATTTCGGCAGTGGCAGTGACAGCATCAGCATCCGTGTGCTTTGCTTTTTTAATGCAGCCACAGGTCAGGGGTGCAGTTGAAATTCCCTGGTGCCTGATCCCAGGCCTTTGCCCTTTTGTTCCTGGAGGGGCGAGCTGCAGGAGAGCCTGCGGAAGGATATCCATCCTCTTGGGGCTTAGCTGGCCTGGCTGTGTGCCCGCAGCACAAAAAAGGCATTGTCAGGCCTCTTGGTGTGATGCTGGAGTGAGTTAAATCCTTCCCCATGATTGCTCAGGTATTTGGCCCCGAGCAAGACGGTATTACAGGCTGGGTAAAAAAAAAAAATAGTAGAACCACGTGGTTTTCTTGACAGAACCGCCATCTCCTAGGCATCTGCGTTTGCCCTGGAAATGTACAGGACTGGATTGGCTTTCTAGATCCAGTGGTCCAGGGAGAGTTGGGCTCCTTCCCTGTGCTGAGGAATGCTGGCGTCACCGGGTTCAAAGCTGCGCTGAATCCCCCAGCCGGCCTCGGGGTTGCCCAGCAACAGGTGCTGTCTGCCTTTCATCGGGTGGCTGGGCCTGGCCTGGCCTGTGTGGCTTGGCTTTATGGGAGGGCGGGAGCTGGCACACGGACACCGTGCACCCCTGTCTCGGCCTCCCTGCCGTGTGCACATCCCTCCAGCCTGCCTGCTCCACCATCTGCTTCAGGGAGGCCTGGGCGGGGGGGTGGGGAGACATTTTCTGCATGGAGGCTTACAAATTGAGTCTAAAAATGACACTGGTGCCTTTGGAAGCCCAGTGGCAAAAGACAAAGCTGCAAATGAATTCAGGGAAGATACCAAGATTTTTAGGATTGTTTTGAGTCTGTAGGTGTAGGGGGTATTTTAAAAGTTAAGCCCAGATTTGGTTAAAAGCAGATGTTTTGTTAAATTTGGATCTGAAGGCTTAGTTTCAGGCCTTGGACAAGGGTCGTTTGGCCTGCTCTGAGTTTTAAAACCTTTTATAGTTAGAGGTTTTTACGTGAAAGTTAAAGGAAAAGTCGGAAGATACCGTAGCGCTGGACCAGCATGCCAGCTTGAGGACAGCTGCCTGGAGCTGAGCTGCCTCTGTCGGGCAGGCCACAGCTTTGCTCTGGCTCTCCCGACGACAAGCTGGCCCCAACTTCTTAGGAGCTTGTGACCTTGGCTTAAAGGGCTCTGGGTTTATCCTTTGTTTGCAGAGAAGAGCGGGGGAGGTGGTTTCAGTGTTTTGAGTAGCTACAGCAACGTGATTGTCTTTATGCAGCAAAAAGAATGCTTGGATGGGAGGAAAACATCAGAACTTGGGGGTACTGGTTGCTTGCCCAATCCAGGAAAAGCTCAGGTGTTTTTTTGGGGGGCTTTTCTGCTTCTGCAAGGTGACACTTTTTCTGGTTCCTGTAGCTTCAAGAACACAACAGAGCAGGCGCAGTCGCTCCTGCGCCTGTGGGGACCCAAACGCAAGCGGCTGTGCCTGCTGGCCAGTGTCCACTGCCCGGAGGGCCTGCGTGCTTGGCGGTGCAGCTGAGCCTTCCAGATGGGCCAGATGTTTTGCGATTCTGTAGCCATGGCTGCCTGCGGAAAGCCCCTTGGTGCCACGTTGAGGAGGCTGTGATCTGAAACCATAACGTGGGCCTCTTGGAGCCCCTCTCCTCCTGCCAGGGCACTGTGGCCCACAGATGTCTGCAGTATGCTTCTGGGGACGCTTGTGGGAGATTCTCGCTGTGACCTTGTCCCTCTTTGGTTCCCGCAGTCCCCAAATCAAGGAAAGAATTCTGATGAAGAGGTGAGCTCGTGGCTCACGTTGCTGTGCTCTGGTGGCACAGAAGCTTCAGTAGGACAATTTTTTCTCTCCATTCCAAGGATGAGACTGAAGCCGAATTGCTCTTGACTTTTTGGTCCAGGGGCCCGGGTCTCCGGAATCCCTTTGACGGATGTTACACCCACCTGCCCCACGTTCTCTCTGCCTGGCAACGTGACCCCATTGTTTACCATCCTCTTGTGCCAGGATCGGCTCTGCAGTCCTGTTCCCAGAGTGGTTTGCTCAGCGGTGTGTAAATCCAGGACTGGCCGTATGTCCTCCAAGTTCTCGCCCATCCTGTATCTTGTCGTGAGTCCCCGTCTGTGACTTCTGCTCTGTCCTCAGAGTGTCCTGTTGTTTCAGTGCAGGCCCACGCCTCTCTCCTAATTCTTACCACTTGCGGAGTTCTCTGTGAATCCACACGGCCCACCCAAGTGAGACATGGGCCTGTATATAGAAAGGCAGTTTTGTTTTTAGTTATAGGACAGGGTTTTCTCTATCTCTGTCTGAAGCTTTTCACCCCCATTGAACTCCTCGACCCCTCTCATGTGGCTCTGCTCCCGTCATCCCACGCAGTTGGCTCTGCCCAGCACTTTTCCGGTAGCTTCTTAGTGGGAAAACCCAATGGGTGTTTTCCAGCAGGACTCGGAGTCTTTCTTACAATGCCCTACTCGCTTGGCTTCTAGAACGTTCACTCCAGTCCTCCTCCGCTTCTGTGACTGGCTCCAGGTCGGTCCCTTTGTAGGAGACTCTTGCTCATTCCCCGCCCCCGACCCTGCTCCTTTTACTATCAATGCAGGAGCTCCGTTCACCTGCGACCTTGTCCTGCTGCACTTTCTACTTATTTCAGTCCAGGCTCCTAAGTTGCCAGTCAAACTAGCTTAGCCAAAAGTGCTGACTGAGCCAAAGAACACAGGAGGAGCTCGTGGACTCTGGGCAGAGGCTGCCCTGGGCCTCCCTGCAGCACCGGCCGGGGTCAGAGAGGCGGAAGGAACACGTGATGTCTGTTTCCAGCCCACTCTCCTTCCTTCTCTCTCCTTGACATAGCCTTCCCTGCTTCTCCAGGCTCACCATGGAAGCCAGCGCCCTGCCACCCCTAGCCCGCTGGCTCTTTCAGTTTGAGCACTTAACTGATCACTTCTCCAGGTCCCAAGGGCTTTATGAAGGTGCGTTCCTGTTGACACAGCAGTTCCACTTCCAGGAACTTAAGAGCATAATGGGAGCGATGCATTAAGCTCTGCGCTTATGAATCCTCATCCTGAAATGATTTCTTCTAGGGAACAGTTGGAAACACCTGAGCAGCCAATGACTTTAAAGTCACTTATATTGACATGATAAACTTTTATCGTATTTTTCAAAACAGTTCTGAATTATTTTTTGGAGAGAGGTTAATGAGAAAATGAGATTAAATAAAAAGCAAGATATGAATTGTGTGATCTTAATTTAAAAATATATACATATATATTATGAAGAACACTGGATGCTGGCAATAGCTATTTCAGGGTGATGAGAAGGCTGGGGACGTTTTTCTCTCTCTCTATTTTCCCTCTCTCTCTTGTTTTAATCCGTCTCTCTATTTTCACATTTTCTGTGTTATTTTAAATACGACTCAGCACTTTGGGAAGCTCCCCTTGACTGCTCCAGGCTGGGTTGGGTCCCTTCTGCGTGCGTTTCCAGTACTGGGCACACATTCCTATTTTTGCAGGTACCACTCAGCCCTCTGATTTCTTGATGAGAAGACCTTTGCATGTTCATCACTATATTTCTTGCATCTAGGAGCGTGAGGAACATGGCCGATAAATGTCTGTTGGCTGAAGAAATTCAAGTCAGAGCAAGTTTTTTAAGTCAGAGAAACATTTTTGCTGAGTCCAAACCTTTGCCAAGTTCAAACATCTGCAGCCTTTTGCTGCCTAGGAGGTTAAAATAACGCTTTTGGCTTCTCTTTCACTTTCTGAGAGGCTTTGGCATTTTATCAATCAGATTGATGATAAAGTTGATCACTGGAGTTTAAGAAGTGGATGTGTATTGTTCTGGGCTGAATGTTTGTGCCCCCCAAATTCTTGTGTTCAAATCCTCACCCCTAATGTCCTGGTATGAGGAGGTGGGGCCTTTGGGACGTGATTAGGTTGTGAGAGTGGAGCCCTCACGAATGGGAGTGGTGTGCTAAGGAGAAGAGAGCCCCTGAGAGCTTGTTTGCTCTCTCTCTGTTCTCCGCCATGTGAAGACGCCAAGAGATGTCGCCAAACCGGGAAGAGGGACCAGACACCAGGCCTGCCAGCACCTTGATCTTGGACTTCTCAGTCTCTACAACTGTGAAAAATAAATGTTTGTTGTTTAAGCTGCCCGCTCTATGGTGTTTTGTTATAGCCGCCTGTAACTAAGTAGTAACTAAGACACATAGGAACGTGCTTTAACTACGGGACTTTTAAAAAAATTTTACGAGATCATTTTAGATTGACATGTATTTCTAAGAAATAATACAGAGAGATTCCTTGTACCACCTGGTACCCTTTACCCAATTTCTCCCAATGTAACATCTTGCAAAATTACAGTACAATATCACAGCCACGATGTTGGCATTGATACAGCCAAGACACAGAACGTTCCCATCACCACAAGGGTCCCTTATAGCCAAACTCATTTTCCTCCCATCCCTCACTTCCTCCTTAACCTCTGGAAACCACTAATCTGTTCTTAATTTCTATAATTTTGTCATGTCAAGAATGTTATATAAATAAAACCATAAAGTATATAACCTTTTGGGATTGTTTTTTCACTTAGCATAGTTCTCTGGGGAGTCATCCAGGTCGTTGTGTGTGTCAATAGTTTAGTCCTTTTTCATTGCTGAGTAGTATTCCACAGTGTGTCTGGCCCACAGTTGGTTTAACCATTCACCCCCTGGAGGACATCTGAGCTGTTTTCAGTTTTGGGTTACTATGAATAAAGCTCCTGTAAATACACATGTAGAGGTTTTTCTGTGAACTTAAATTTTCATTTCTCCAGGATAAACGCCCTGGAGTGCAATTGCTGGGTTGAATAGTAGGTGTAGGTCTATCTTTTAAGAAACTGCCAAACTCTTTTCCAGAGTGGCTGTATTATCTTACATTCTCACTGGCAATGTCTGAGTGACTCAGTTTATCCGTCCCGTTGCCAGCATTTGGTATCGTCACTGTTTTTTATTTTAGCTATTTTGATAGGTGTGTGGCATGTCTCATTGTGGTTTAAATTTGAATTTCTCTAATGACTAATGAAGAACTTGTGAACATTTTCTCATGCGCTTATTTTCCATCTATATATTCTCTTTGGTGAAGTGTCTGTGTGTTTCTGCCCATTTTCTAATAGGATTGTTTGTATTTTACTGTTGAGTATTTTTTGTTGGTTTTTTTTTGAGGAAGATTAGCCCTAAGCCAACATCTGCCACCAATCCTCCTCTTTTTCGCTGAGGAAGACTGGCCCTGAGCTAACACCCATGCCCTTCTTCCTCTGCTTTATATGTGGGATCCCGCCACAGCATGGCTTGATAAGCGGTGCGCATATCTGTGCCCAGGGTCCTAACCGGGGAAACCTGGGCTGCAGAAGTGGAGTGCGTGAACTTAACTGCTACACCATGAGGTGACCCCTACTGTTGAGTTTTGAGTTCTGTATATTCTGGATACTAGTCCTTTGTTGGATATGTAATTTGCAAATATTTTCTTCCAGTCTGTAACTTGACTTGTCATCTTCTTCATATGGGTGTTTACAGCGCAAAAGTTTTTAATTTTGATCAAATCCAATTTATCCGATTTTCCTTATGCAGATGCTACTTTTGGTGTTATCTAAAAACTGTCTCCTTTGTCCTAGATCCCAAAGATTTTCTCCTATGTTTTTTTCCTAAAAGTTTTCTAGTTTATATTTTACGTTAGGTTTGTGATTCATTTTGAGTGGGCTTTTGTATAACTCGTACGGTTTGCTTCATTCGGTGCGTCTCCTGTGGCGTGGCCCGTCCCCAGCGTCACCCGCATGTCCCTGCCTTTCAGATCTCTACGTGTACGCGGTGCTCGTGTGCTGTGCGGGGATTCTCAGCGTTCTGCTCTTCACCCTGGCCATCATCTGGCAGTCTGTGTTTAACAAGAGGAAATCCAGAGGTAAGAGAACGGATAAGGTCACATCTGGGAGGGGAGTGCCACCAGACCACAGACAGGCAGAAGACGCTGAGCAAAGTATCACCTTGGTTGAAAAATGCATCTTGAGTCAGAGATTATTCACCTCTGACTGGTGGGCAGAGCGAGTGAGGAGATGTGTCTCCCTTAGACTCTGCTAAAATCAACGGTGACCACTCTCGGCATCATTTAAATTCCCCCTCTTCTCTGGTCCCTTCCTTCCTCAGTCTCTGAGCTCCCTCACCCATCTCGTTCTCCCATGCAGTCAGATGATTGGGTTCTGGCTCTCCCACTTCAGGCTGAGTTTCTAGACTCGTTCCTAACCGCTCTGAACTTTGGGTTCCTCATCTATGAGATGAAATGGGATTGACGCCACCTTCCTTAGGTTGGATGTTGGTGTGAGTGTTTGTAATTTAATTACAGTCTCCAGTGCTGGGCCTGGCAGGCAGGCAGGAGTAGAAATCCCTCCTCCTCTTCCTGCTCCGTTGGTGTTTGCTTCCTGCCATCCCCGTTCTTGTGGGCGTCCTGTGCCTCTGGACTCCGTCCTCAGCCCCTCCTCGCTTGACTCTTTCTTTTCAGTGATTACAGTTCCCGTGACTCTCATCTCCCTGGGAAGACGGCCTGCTCCCTCTCTCTAGTCCCGCCTTTCACCAAGCCTTGACTTCACGTCTCTACCAGCTCCTGTACGTTTCCTCTGAGATATTCTGCCTGCCCTCCCTTCAGAGTTTCCGAAACAGACAAGGATGCTGTAGCTCCCAGAGCCGACCAGCATACGAGCTGGACCCTGGAAGCAGACCGACTCTGGTTCAAATGGCCACTTTTCTCGTAGCAGCTGATGGCTTACCTGCTGTGCCTTGCCTTCCCCATCTAAACGATGGGAAAAACAGTAGTGTACCAGTCTTATAGGGCTGTTGTGAGGATGAAGTTTAAAAAATACAAGAAAAATCCCCTTAATGCATTCTGGCTCCTTGTAAGTGTCCTGTGTTTATGGTGAGGTGGTTATAGTTATACAGGATAATTATTACTATTAGCCCAAGGTCATAAAGCTGGGAAGTGTTAGATTTGGTGGTCACAGTTTAAGGGGACGCTCAAACAGGGAAACTGAGCCGCGTTTCGAGAGGGGACTCTCCTCAGAGGTGTGGGTGGGGCTAAGGGAACCGAGGAGGGAGCGGGGATGCTCTCAGGGACCAGCTCCCACTGGGATGCTGCTTCAACCCTAAACCCTAGGGAACAAGGGTGGGAGAGGTGCCTGGAAGTGCTGAGAGCTGCAGCTGTGGGAGCGTTACCCTACAGGGGCCTTAGCAGAGGGACTCACATGGCGTTAAACCAGCAGGGAGGGAGCAGGAGCCTGTGTTCCTCAGCCCCTCCGCTCCCCTGCTCCTCCAGATGTCCTGCGGCCACCTCCCTCTGGTCCTGCCAACCAGAAGCCAGAGGACAGTGCATAGAGGTCAGCCTGCAGGGCCCTGGGCAGGGTGGAGAAGGGTGGACGGGGGTGGGGAGGGGTGCGTGGATACACCCAGCACACTCAGCCCCCGGAGATGCAGCGAGGGCTGCAGCCCCATCTTTCTCCTCCACGGCCCGTGCCCTCCTCACCATGCTGTGGGTGCGTCTCTGTGCTGTGTTTTGGAAACCTTCCTCCAAGGGGTCCGCCCACCTCATCAACAGTGCCCGAACTTTTCTCCCATTCCAAACCCTGGACCACTTTTATGAACTTGTGGCACATGTGGCACATGTGCACATGCATTGGCCTGCCTTCAAGAGGACAGTGTATAAGGCAGGGACTAGGCCTCTGAGTCATCCTTCTTGGAATTTGGCTCATGACAGCTGCTCCACAAATGGTGGACACATGGGCTTGTTTCCCGGCTGCTTTGCTCCCAGCTGTTGGGGTTTGGAAGCCACATAGGCAATTTCCAAGCCCGTTTTGCTCTAAAGACACCTCCGCCTGCGCTCGGGGGCATGATGGAGAAGTCTGCCTGTTAGGCCTTAGGTGGGATCCAGGAAACCAAGCAAGGTGGTAGGACGAGGAGACATCCTTCTGCTCCAAAGCCAAGAAGAACAGACTGGGACACGCACTCCAGGCTTTACACAGAGCTGCCGAGGATGCGGATCCCAGCTGCCCTTGTGCCCCCTGGAGTGGGCTCCAGATGGCCTCGTGTGCACTGTTCACGGCATCTGAGAGCTCTACTGAGCTGTCGAGAGCTCTGAGCACCTGTGGTGGGCCAGACCCCTCGCTGGTGCAGCTGCCGTTGGCAGGCTGGCATCCTGTACTCCTCACAGAGTGGGTCCTGCCCCGTGTAGCCCTTCCTGGGCACCTCCCAGCCACACTGTGGGTCCAGGGACAGAGAACTGTGGGTGGCGGGCCCAGTGCTGCCCCTCCCCTGGGCCCAGGAGCCTTGGGGCAGCACCACCCAAACCTTCCCGAGCAGGCCGTTCACCAGGAACCTCCTCAGATGCTGGTAATAGTTTAGTCCGCCTGGCCAGGCCTGAGAGTGCGTTTCTCATGGGATCCTGGGTGATGCTACTGCTGCTGGTGTGAGGCACGCGTTAATGAACAAGGCCTTCGAGCCACTTCTTCTTAACTCTCTCCCATGGGGCACCCTCTCATACCACAAATATTTTGAAACGATCCCGTTACTGTCTTGAAATGAAACTCAGAGATAAGACATGCTACCAGTTCCCACAAAAATCAACTCGATGGTCTAACTATAATGCAAAGGAGAAATGAATGAAAAGTGATTCATAACACAATGAAACAAACCAGTGATGCACCTCTTCTTTTGAATTTCAGAGAAGACACTATTCCTTTATATTTGACAGGATTTGAAGTATAGGTGTGTCTGTTTACATTTGAAATAAAGGCTAAACAAGTGCCTATATGTTTATATGAAGACTCAATATGCAAGAGACAGGGACAAGGATAGACTGACGAAGATGTGCCTTAAAATCCAGGAGTGGCACCACGCGTAGTGATGAAATTTCTAAAATCCCAACTGTTGGTAAAGTTTCAAATAAAAGTGTACATTCTGCCTGATTGTCACACTCCTTAAGCATTCCTCATTTATTAAAACTGGGCAAAAATATACCTGTGTTTATATGTAAAATGGACTTGGGTCCCAGGCTCTGACGAGCAGGATTTTTCTCTACACAAATGTCAGGAGGGTCATTCAAAGTCATGTGGGACAAAAATCTTCATTTGTGGGCTGTCTTATGGATTTCTGGATGTCCAACCCGCCTGCCCTCTGCCTACCCATTGTCAGGTACTGTCCTCAATCAGTGTGATAATCAGAAACACCCCCGGAGAGTTCTAACTTGCCTCTGATACCCGTGAACTTTGAGCAGGCTGTTCCCAGGTCTGGTGTTGAGTTGGAGAAAGCACGGCCTCCAGGAGCCCATGGGGCCAGGCTCGGTGGCGGGAGACATGGAGCGAGCAGGACACCGTCTGTACGTGGGCCTGCTTCCATCCTCACACTCTCTCTGGGCTGTAGCTTGTTGTATGAGGTCCCTGATTCCCAGCTGAGAAAGTAGAGGCATGCGGAGCACAGGGGAAGAGCTCACATATTTTAAAGGACCCCTAACCCACCCCCTCCAGTTCTAAACTCTGTGCCTGCCTCTGCAGAACCTCAACAGATGCCATCCTCGGAGAGCCCTGTCACTGCTCCAGGCAGACTGGGGAGGGTTCAGTCCCCTTCACGGTTCCAGGAAGGCCGCCTCTGGCTTAGAACCCGGTAGATTTGCAGGCAGAGCCCCAACTTCCATTGAGGCCTGGATTGTAGGGCCTTTCCCAGCTTGTTTTCTCAATGAAATTTAATAACAAAAATGACCAAAGGGGATCTGATAAGCATGGCCTTGTTTTAGGTCGGTTAAAGACCTTTCCAGCTCTGAGGACGTAGCTAAGAGCAGTTGCCTTTCCTGTCATTGAGTGAGCTCTTACCCAGAGGACATGCCCTGGTCACCCTGAAATGTTTCATGTGGCTATTGCTGTGTAACACACCCCCTCAGTCATAGTAGCTTCAAACAACATTTATTTGCTCAAGATTCTGCAGGCTAGGCAGGGCTCAGCCGGGCAATTCTGCTGGCAGTGTCACCTGGAGTCTCCATGTGGCCTCGTTGTCTGGAGTTGACTGGGGCCTGAGATCTAGGAATGGCACCACTCTTAGCCCTGGGGCTCACCTCTGAGACAGAAGGGACAGAAGGACTGGCAACCATGCCCTTCCCCTCTAGTCTCACTGGCAAGGTAGCCAGACCCTCCTACTTGGTGACCCAGGGCTCTAGCGTGTGCCTAGACAGGATGTTGGCATGGTTGTCACTCTGTCACGTTCTGCTGGTAAAGGAAGTCGTGAGGGCAGCCCAGACTCAGGGTGGGGAGGACAGTCCACCTATTGATGGGAAGAATAGCAGAGAATTTGTGGTCATCTTTAAGTCGCCACACAAGGAAAACTGGATTGCTGTCTTTCCACTGCCAGAACCAATGGGAAGCAGCGGGGGCCCAGCTCAGGGGTGAGTATGGGATACACCCAGTCACTCACGGTGGCTGGGGCTTAATGGTGACCATTGTGGGCCCTGAGAACTGGAGGTGCCAGGGCGTTACCCGGACAATCAGCTAGTTCTGGAGGAGCACTGCATCCTTGATGCCCAAGCTGGGATGGGAAGGGGTTGGCGGGGGTGCGTGGCAGCAATTCCAAAGGGGCAGGTTCCAGCAGTTGCCAGAGTGAGAGCAGCGACGGGGCACCTCCCCTTATGTCAGGCTGTGCCCCAGGGCGCTGCTCCTTTATGGGTTAGCTGCAGTTGGTCATAGCTCTCATTGGGAGCAGTCAAACATTTGTGGGCCAAGACACATGTCCACATAAAAACCAGTGACACTCTTATAATTGAAATATAGCATATTCTTACGTTCAATGCTTTGTACTGTTAACAAGTTTGCATCATTTTGATTAAAATGATTACTATATATGAAGTGCTTAGAATGGTGCTTGGTGCAAGGAGGG